TCAGAACAGCATCCTCATGGTAGCCTACAAGCTAAAAAAAAACTCTATCAACAACTGTAGCAATCCCACAGCAATGTGTTAAAACCACTCTGAATGCCCTCAAAACAACACATCTAGCTATTTTTTTTAAATAATTTGCCATGCCTCTTTTGCTAAATCCTACCATATGGCTAAAACCTATAGCAACTACATAGCAACATGCTAAAAATACATTGACCACAGCTTGCATGATATACTTTTTGCTATAGATTTGAATGATGCACCATGCTACTAAACGCCCTAGCAACAACATGCAAAATAGTACTCAGAACACCTAGCAACAGCATAGCAACCACCTAATCACCCACAACACCCTAGCAGCATTCTACGGACATGGTTTCATTGATTTATTGTTATATTCTATTGTTACGAGTTATGATTTATACCCTATTATATTCCACCACTGTCTTCCAGAGTTTTATTGTAAAACATAATCAGACACTCACACTTTATCATTTTCCGCTCTCTTTCATACCTTCTCATTTATGTGGGGACTGAATCAGCTGCAGTCCCCCAGAACAGAACCGTAGTTCCTGACAGTTTCATTGTCGTTTTATTTTACTCTCAGCAAGTCACTATATCAGCAACTTTTACATCCTCCTGCGTGCCTTGCTCAATAGTAGGACTTGATCCGAAACCGCAGGCACTGTTTTTGTTGAAAGTGGGTGGATATGTTGAAATCACAGTCGCTCAGACAAAATATGTTTATGTTTTAGTCTGAAAATTCTCCAATGTGTTGTGTTATATGGCTGTTAATGGTGATTGGGATATTTTAAGGGATAGTTCACTCAAAAATGAAAATGCTGTGAATACTCACCCTTCGCTTGTTCAAAACCTATTTCAATTTCGTTTTTCTGTTGAAGACAAAAGAAAATACTTTGAAGGATGCTGGTTTCAGGGACCCATCGACTTCCATAGTATTTTTTTTTTTTACTGTGGAAGTCAATGGGTACCAGCAAACAGCATTCTTCAACATATCTTCTGATTTAAAACCATATAAAGGAGAGTAAACAGTGAGGTAATTTAAATTTTTGGGGGGAACAAATCCTTTAAAAATATTGCAATATTTTATTGTGTTAATTAAGGCTGTGATAACTGGGGATGCGCTGAATTTTTGCCCACTTAAAAGTATCGTCTGAAAAATGGCATTTTTGTTTTTTTGGCTTGGCGGCACGGAGGCTCAGTGGTTAGCACTGTTGCCTCAAAGCAAGAAGGTCGCCAGTTCGAGTCCCGGCTTGGTCAATTGCCATTTCTGTGTGGAGTTTGCATGTTCTCCTTGTATTCACATGGGTTTCCTCCTAGCGCTACATTTTCCCCCACAGTCTAAAGACATGCAGTGTAAATGAATTGGAAAAACAAAATTGGCTGTCGTATATGAGTGTGAGAGTGTATTGGTGTTTCCCAGTACTGGGTTGCGGCTGGAAGGGCATCTGCTGTGTAAAATATGTGCTGGAATAGTTGGCGGTACATTCCACTGTGGTAACCCCAGATAAATAAGGGATTAAGCTGAAAGAATGAAAATATAAGTTGTGTTCAAGGCATTAGTTTCACTTTCCCTCCAGCCGTCGTCAATATACTATGAGTAAAGTGGCTTTCACACCAGACGCAGAAAGTTCTGCACTATAAAACTCATTCACCTTGTGCAATGCAAGTGTGGTTTGTTGTCGTTCCGACCAATATGCAAGACAATAAACTGCCCACATGATGTTTCTATGCATGCTTGTTCAACACTGGTAAGATAACTCAGTCAATACAATTTTATTGTCAAATAAATGTGGTTATTTTATTGCCATATGTTTTTTTTATTCCTTTCAATTTTTTGTGTTAAATAAAAAAAATTCAAAATTACTTTATATTATTTAAAAAAATAATTCATAATTATTACAAAGCATTTTTGTTTGTTCAGTGCATTTAGAATTTTCAGTTTTGGTCCAGATTTTTCATTTCGGCACATCTCTAGTCACAATATACCAGTATACTCATCGTGATATTTAAAAGTTAATTATAAACCTGAAAATATATTACACAACTATTGATGATAAAACATGAAGAGAATCAACACATAATTGCAGCATTTGTGTGTGTTTTTATCTGTGTTTTTTAAGCCATCTTGGGTATTTTTAAAATAAAAATACAATGCTAATCAACATTTATCACTTTATGTAATTCTATAAAAAATGTCTGCTTCATTTGTTACAAGAAATCACATCAGTTAACAGAAGAAGATTATTTAACTCAACTGGCACAATAATGCATGTTTGAAGTTAAAAAAATGGTATTCTCATTTCATGATTTAAATTATTTTATTAAAATAGCTGAAGTCTCTATTAAGTGCAATAGTGTGATTCCTTTGCTCAAAAAAATAAAGATGAATTTGACTTATAGCATTAATTGTTATTTATTTAGTCTCCGTTAAGTGCAATTGTTCCTTGTGTATGCAGCAGTGCAGTTCATTAGCCAAAAAAAAGTAAACAAAATGAAGATGAATTTAGCATTATATATTATTTATTTAATCTCCTTTAAGTGCAGTTGTTCCTATTCGGCAAACAAAATAAAGATGAATCTGGCTTATAGCATTTTTTCATTATTCTTTTTTTTTCATGATCTCTATATGCTCAAAATTATTATATTATTATCATGAACTATTTTGGAAAAAATTGACCTTATGACACAACTATTCTGTATTAAATTAATTCATGAATATCATTTGCAATATTTTCAGTATTAAAGGTCTCGTGAGATGAAAATAAAGTTGTTTAGATGTTTCAGTATGTTAGATTTAAGGATATCTATAAGCTAGTGTGCTACAAAATTAGCACTTAGAATATATAAACCTGATGTAAACATCCAAAGCTTGCAGTTTGTCACTTCCTCTTAAATTTAATTCCACTAATTTAACAGATGTCTTTGGGTCTTTGTTCAGATTTCTTCTGAAGAATATCAGTTTCCTTAAGCAGCAGCCGGGGCTCCTGTTTTATAGCTTTATGATTCATTAAATTACCCGTATGAGGTCTGAATGGCAGGAATCACGCTCGGGCTCCCACAGAGGGTCGAGTCTTGGTGAGAGTTCAGAGATCACACTGACCGTCAGTGTCTTGGGTTACAGAAGAGCAGGAGAGCGCGAATGTACTCGGAGGGGGGCTGTGTGTAAAAACCAGTGTCAGGTCAGCAGGAAATGCCTCATGTTTCGGCTGGTTTTGTTTGAGCTGATGCAGTAGGAGTCATCATAAATGAAGCTAAATGAGTCATGCGAAAGTTACTCTAGACGAAGACAAGTGGAAGACGTTTCAGATTTCTAGTTATGAGAGATGTGTTTGTATATATATGATGCATTGTAAAGGCATTAGATCACATCCAGATTTATCAGAATGATAATCGTTGTGTTTATACACAAGGAAGGAGCTTTAGTTGTAGCATGGGAACAAAGATGACGGCGAGTTATATATACTTGTGGGCTGTTGAATGCTTGATTCGGATTGGTTGATGAACTTTTGATGAGCTGTGTAGTTATTTTCAGATAAACACACAGCTGAAGTAGCTGAAGTGAAACAATTTAATGAATCTGATTAGACTGATCGCAATAAACACAAACAATCTGATTGAAAGAAACTAGTAAAACACATCAGTTGATGTAACTGACTTAAATTGTGAGAAAATATAAGAACTATTAGAAAATAAGAATTATATAATAAGTGAACAATAATACCAATATATCAAAATAAAAATAAAAATGGAAATAATGATTATTAAAATATTAATTATTTTTAAAAAATCATTAGAAAACACCACTTAACCTATGGCTGTACTATTGTATATTATTCGTTTACATTACATTATTTTGAAATATTAATATATATAATAATACAATATATATATATATATATAAACTGTAAAAATTATATGATCAATTAGACATGACATGTTATTTTTAGTTCATAGCAACTTATTAAACTAAGTTAATCATGTTCTAAATTAATTTTAAGTTACACAAGCTGTTTAAGTCAGTTTAACATATAAGTTCAATGGACTCATAAGATTAATATGAGTTCAGCAATTTTTTTACAGTGTATACGAGCAATTCTGTGCAAATGTCAACCTTGCCATGAAAAAAATATATGTTTTACGGAATACGGAAACCATTTCTGGGTTTTTTGTGAAAGTAATGTCGAATGTAATATAATGTAATATATATATATATATATATATATATATATATATATATATATATATATATATATATATATATATATATATATATATATATATATATATACACACACTGTGATTAGCAAATATAAGTACACCCCTTAAAAACCTATCTTTTAAATTCATATTTGTAATAGGAAGCTGTATTATTTGTTACATTAGATTAGTGAGTACTGAAGCCAAATCTGAATGCTCCAAAAAGTAGTACACCTAAATTTATGTCAAAACAAATATTAAATACAAATAAAAAAAAAGAAACAAAAATGAAGAGAAACAAAAAGAAAATAAGAATTTAGTTGAAAATTTGTAGGTTGTAATTTTATTTGCAATATTTAGCTTGAATTTTATTGTATTATATTTCAGTTTCTAAATATGTTTGGTGTCTAAAATATTATTTTAATGATTATATCTGCTCAATAAATCTGTTTTGTTTAAATTCACACCAAAATACATTGCCTATATTCACTAAGAAATGGATACAAATATTAATTTTCAAAATAGGGTGTTCTCAATTATACTGAGCACTGTATATATATTTTTAAATATATATTATGCATTAAAATGTGCATTTATATTTTTGTTATTTATAATTTTGCCTAGAGTGTGAGATTTATTTTAAGACTTTTAGAATGTAAAACAATAGGAGTATCCACATGCTGCTTATAATGTTGATCTATATTATGTTTCATATAACTGAACAGCAAATATAATCAGTCATCCCACTAAAGTGTTTGTGTATGTGTGTGTTTGTGTAGGTATGATTTTGTACAGGTGTTTGATGGTGCGGATGAGAACGCTCTCTCTCTTGGGAGGTTCTGCGGCAAAATCGCTCCGTCTCCGATTATCTCTAGTGGAAACTCTTTACTCATCAAATTCACCTCCGACTACGAAAGCGCAGGAGCCGGATTCAGCATCCGCTATGAGATACACCGTACAGGTATACACAAACACACACACTGTCAAAGATATCATAATGCACACACACACAAAGACAAACATATGGTCTTTAATTAAAATACTCATTCTCTGTTTTAATTCTCTTTTGTACAGTTGAAGTCAGAGTTATTAATCCTCCTGAATTATTAGGCGAGAAGATTAATTTCTAAACATGATAGTTTTAATAACTCATTTCTAATAACTGATTTATTTTATCTTTGTCATGATGACAGTAAATAATATTTGACTAGATATTTTTCAAGACACTTATACAGCTTAAAGTGATATTTTTTTAAGGCTTAACTAGGGTAACTAGGCAAGTTAGAGTAATTCTAACAATCAAAAGACAATCAAATAAACATATTGCTTAAGGGGGCTAATAATTTTGACCTTAAAATGGTTTAAAAAAATTAAGAACTGCTTTTATTTTAGCCGAAATCAAACAATAACCAGAAGAAAAAATATTATCAGACATACTGTAAAAATTTCCTTGCTCTGTTAAACATCATTTAGGAAATATTTTAAAAGTGTTGCCTCATGCTGCTTGTTATTTTGCGTAGGTACCGAATGTTCCAGAAACTTCACCGAACCGCACGGACTGATCGAAACCCCTGGCTTCCCGGATAAATATCCCAACAACCTGGAGTGCACCTTCATCATCTTCGCGCCCAAGATGGCGGAGATCATTTTGGACTTTCAGAGCTTTGACATGGAGCCGGACACAACGGCACCTGCGGGGGCCGTCTGCAGATTCGACTATCTGGAGATATGGGACGGATATCCTACAGGTACAGACGGAAAAGAAAACAGAGGAACAACAATGCTGACTTTTAGACTTCATGCTGAGTTCAGCAGGAAGTTTGAATAGTATTAGAGCCGGAGGAAAGGCTTTTCAGAAAACATCCACAGAGACACACACACACACACACACACAAAAGAAAACCCAATCATTACAGCTCTCAGGGATATTAGAATGGTTCTGCATGAAGAAAGGCTGAGTTTTTCATTGAGTTGTGAATTGCTCAAATTTCCGTCTCTTTCTTTCAGTGGGTCCTCATATTGGTCGATACTGTGGTTCCAGACATCCAGGTCGAGTGATTTCATACACTGGCATTCTCTCTCTCAGTATCCACACAGACAACGCCATCACCAAAGAGGGCTTTTCAGCCAATTACAGCATCCGAAGCAGCTCAGACCAACTTCAACCACACCAAGGTTAGTGTGAGACCTCATTTAAAGTTCCAGTGAAATTAGAATTAAAACATTTAGATGCTAGTTTCAGTCTGTAAGTTTTAAGGACGTCTGTTAGCTAGTGTGCTCCAAAACATTGACGAAATTAGCGTTTAGTAGATAAACCTGATATAAAGATGTAAAGCTTGTAGTTTGTCACTTCAGCCTAAATCAACCTTTTTTTTCACATGACTTCATCAAATCTTGACCAATCAAATGCTCTTTAGCATCTGACACGCCCCACCCCCTTCAAGATGATTTTCATTTGATGTGCTGAGCTCAACCACTCTCACTGGCAGAGCTGTGATAAAAAGCGAAACGCTATTGGCTGTTTTTAAAGAGGAGGAGCTACTCTGTGTCCCGTCCTCTCATCATTTTTCAGTTACGATTACGTCAAACATCAAATAAAAAGATGCACATTTCAAAGCACCCTTAAAAAGCTAATTTACATCACTTTTAAATCATTCACATTTCTGTTTTTCTCCGTTTTGTTAGTGTGAGCACATCTTTGGTGGAAGTGTTGTTTTTGCATCTTGATTTCAAAGAATGGACTTTTAAGGATACATTGTTGCAGAAAAACTATTGCCTGTAGCTTCTGATTGATGGGTATTTTATTTACAATTGCATTGTGGGACATTGATCTCTGTTCTGGCAACTTTTGATGTTGAAAATGCGACTGCAGTTTTGCAACGTGACTTTTATTGACATTTTATTAGACTGAAAACAATATATTGCACAAGAATTAACACATTTAGAAATGAATCCCTATACTGTCAAAAATGCTGGGTTCTGCATAATTACTTCATGTTGTCCCAACACAAATGTATTAAGTTAACTTAATAATTTTTACATATTAAAGTTAAAATTGAACATAAAACAATTAAACTGTCTTGAAAGACACAAAAGAACTGAGTTTCCTCAACTTATCCTAAATAACTAGTTTAAACAAGCAGCAAAAGTCCTTTTTTAAGTTTACAATGAAAGGAAAAGCTCTGTTTTTGTTTTGTCAAATCAAATCAAATCTCTTTTATTGTCATATCATCTGCAGTATGTGTGCTATGATGAGTGAAAAGCTTAGGTGCTGGCTGCAAAATACAGACGGTGCAATATACAACGACACTGCAAAATACAACATGCTCCCAAAAAACAAGACAAGATACAATTGGCAATGTTTACAGTAATACGTAGAAGACAATGAATAGGTGTGCATGTAGTCTGACTGTTGGTGGACAAATGTTGTAGGCAGTATGGTTTTAAGTACGGCTTGGTTAATCATATTTGTGTTTTATAATTAATATGACCTACCCAGACAATATGCGATACAACTACTAAGAATGTCAATTAAAGTCACTTTGTTAAACTTCATTCATTAATTTTCTTTTCAACTTAGTTCCTTTATTAATCTGCGGTCGCCACAACGGAATGAACCGCCAACTTATCCAGCACATGTTTTACGCAGCGGATACCCTTCCTGCTGCAACCCATCTCTGGGAAACATCCATACATACTCATTCACTACCGACAATTTAGCCTACCCAATTCGCCTGTACCTCATGTCTTTGGACTATGGGGGAAACCGGAGCACCCGGAGGAAACCCAAGCAAATGCAGGGAGAACATGCAAACTCCACACAGAAACGCCAACTGACCCAGCCGAGGCTCAAACCTACTGTACCATCGCGTCACTACTTTGTTAAACTTTTTAATATAAAAATGTTCAGGGACTACATCTTATTCAAATGAGAAAGCATAAAAGACTGTAATTTAGTGTTTACCATCCAAAATCATTTACCTAAGACTTAAAATTAAATGGACTTAAAATCAGATCATTTGTCTAACATTTTCTTAAATATTGATTTGTCCAGACCAAGATTTTTCATATTAGGCCCGTCATGTGGCCAGCCTGGTGAAAGATGTGGTTCCTTTTTTTTTCTTTTTTTTTCTTTACAAAAAGTGAACCTTTTTGCAGTTATTCACTTTATTTTCTATTTAATTATGAAATTTAAACACCGCATTAAGTGACATTTTATGCATTTTTTTTTGCTGAATTAGCTTGTCGGATGGTCATCATAACCAAACTTATCAATGCACTGAAAATATTTTCTAAAGATTTAGAATTAAAGAAATATGAAGAAAAAATACTTTTAAAAAAATACAAATTTATTTCATATATCATTGTGGGGGGGGAAGTAATCCGTTAAAGTTTAAATTAAAACTCTGGCCAATTGTGCTATTTATTATTTAAACACTGCATTTAATGACATTTTAAGCAATATATTTAGCTCAATTAGCCTGTTGGATGTTATCATAACCACTCCTTTTGATTTACCAAAGATATTTCCTAAAGATTTAGAATAAAAAAGTATGAAGAAAAAAATATATATTTTTAAAAATACAAATTTATTTCATATATCAATTTGGGAAAAATGAAATCTGTTAAGTTTTAAATTAAAAGCTGTAGCCGACTGTGACATTTATTAGGCAAATAACAAACTGAGAAGCACATTAAACTTTACTCAGTCAGAATTTGGCCATTTAAATACTGAACAATTAAAACATAATAATAGTAATAATAATGTAGAGCTTGATGATTTTTCTAGTCTCTCTTGTAAAAAAAAAGTGCATTTGAATACTCATTAACGACAACAATTGCCAAATTAGTATTAAAATTAACTTTAATTTGGCCAGATTTTGATGTTTCACACTTTTTTTTGGTAATTGTTTTTCTTTCAAGAATAAGGTCCAAGATTTAGAATAGAAGTTACTTGTAAAATGTTTTCTCTATTTTACAGTACGTAAAAGGTCTCTTGGTCTTAAAGCCTTTTATGGGTAATTTTCAAAATTGATGATGGCTTAACATTCAGAATAGGACAAATGAGCTCATGTATGAACAAATTCTGGAACTTTGTCATGGGGGGGGCTGCTTATAATTTTCTTCATTTTTACAAGGTTTTTTTGTTATTTTTTAGAGCAATAAATTAATTAAAAAGAAAATAAATTTAATTCAATATTATAATATCTGTGGGAAATGTAGTTGCAATTATTTGTTTAGGTACAGTTCAATTGTAATATTTGCATGGCATTTTTTAGCATTAAAATTTTTAGTGTATGATAAAAATATATTAAATAGCATTCATTTTCAAGATCAAGCAACATGCAACGATCGTATTTATTTATTTGACGTTGTTTTTATGCTTGTCTTTGGTGAATGCAATGATGGGAATGACAAGAGAGCTGCTGATATTTCTCTCACTTTCAGCTGGCTCAGTCTGGGGCTTTTATTAAAGCCATCTATCAAGTTTTCCGAGAGTCACACACTAACCGAGACTGTTAGCAATAATGTGGCAATAATGCGCTTGATGGCACTGAAGTAACACCCATGCTCCTCTGAGACCTGATCCCGGCTCAGATTCACTTCAGAAAACTGTGCATGTGTGTGCTTTCAGTTCGGAGTAATAAAGTGCAGTGAGGCTGTCCGTTTATAATTCATCTTCATCCCGGCTCCCGCACGGGGCCACACGGGGTCACACGGGTCACCACATCTGTGGCCAAACATGAAAGACTAATATTAACTTCCTATGGTGAGGAGAGAGCGTATCCGACTCTCTTTCGCTTTCAAACTCAAAAAAACATGCTAACAAAATGATATTTACTCAACCTAGACCTTCCGACAGTATCAGATATAAAACAACGCTTGATTTATGGCCATGTCAGATAGTGAGGAATGTTTCGATTGGCTTTAAAAGTGACTTCAGGTTTTATGATAGTGCCATTCGTGCTGTTTATCACTTCTAAAACATGACAGCAGCAATAATGTGTGTGTGTGTGTGCGTGTGTGTTTGTGTGTGTAGATGAGTGTATGTATCCTTTAGGAATGGAAAGTGGTGAGATCACAGAAGACAGGATAGCTGCATCGTCGCAGTATAATCCCAGCTGGTCTCGACTGCGCTCCAGACTGAATTACCTTGAAAATGGCTGGACGCCGTCAGAGGATTCTTCTCGGGAGTGGATACAGGTACAAACAAACACACACACATACAGTTGAAGTCAGAACTATTAGCCCTCCTGATTTATTAGCGTATGACGAGATCTCACGAGATTAAATCGCGACGAGATTTCTTGTCGGGTGAAAATTTGTCTCATGAGTTGGGATCAAGGTTATTATAGTTAACGAAAACTAGAATTGCAAAAAGATTTTCGTTAACTAAAATAAAATTAAAAGCGAGAAGTTTTTTTTTAAACTAGAACTAACTGAAACTGAATTGTGTACATACAAAACCAATTGAAACTAACTAACATTACAGCAAAAATGTCCTTGGTTTTCGTCTTTGTAAATGTATTTATTATACTGTAAGTACATCTATTTACAGTACTTCACGCTGCCGGTGTTTGACCCATACGGCACCTCAGGGTCTGTTATCCCGCTGCCATTCGCCAGATCAAGCCGGTCCAGTCATCCTCGCTGTTGCTCCCGCGACAAAAACAATGGCTGGATGACACCAGCATGTTGACAACATTAAATACAACCTGAGCAGACACTTAAAAGTATTCATTCAACACATTTGAGCCAAATAATAGGTTTTATTTCTGTATTTGTATATTTCGCGAATGAATTGTCTTTTTAACCAGACTTTCTAAGTGAACCGATTGAACTAATTCACCAAAACGAACTGAATCACTTGAAATGATTCATGTCTCCAGTAACATTAAGCCCTTATCCAAAAACTTCTTGCTTATTAACATGCCTCATAACGCCCTCTGACTCGAAATAAACCAATATATATTATTTTATATATTTAGTTATTCAGTTATTAGAACAGTAAACACAGATAACAGATTTGACAAGGGCTGAACCGATAATGCAGATTCAGTGAACCGCACACAAACAGTACAGTACATGGCAGCCTGCTGTGATTGAACTAAACTTGAACTTGAGGGCTTAAATGAGAGGATCTGGCGAAATGTAAGTTTATTACACAACAGAAAGTCGTAATGGAATTTAAATGAATGAATCATGCTTCAGTTGGGTTGTAAAACTTAACTGTAAGAAACTTTTCAGATCGTGATGATTTAAGTGACTGAAATTATGATTGCTAACTACAAATATTTAAAATGTTGAGTCCAAACATGGGAGGATTGTCACAAAAGATCTGGTTCGTGTTCAAGAACTGAACTTCCCATCACTACTGTGTATCTAACCTCAGAAGCAGCCTTGCACACATATTTTACTTAAGGCTGCTGTCTTGTGGGCTGTTGTATTTGAGTTTGAGGATGGGTAGATGGTAGTGGTAGATGTGTACTTGTGTAAAAAAAAAAATGTAGTCTATCTTTGGTTGAGTTTTTATTATACAATATTTATTCTGATGATTTCGAATCTTGCACCTAACTAATATCCTTGTTTACAAAAAAATTATAAATAAAACTAAAACTGAAACTAATAAGAACTAAACTAAAACTAAGCAATTTCCAAATATAGAAACTAATAAAAACTAGTAAATCTACCGATAAAAACATATTAATACTAACTGAATTTGAAAATCAAAAGTCATAATGAAATAAAAACTAAAACTATTGCATGACATGGAAATTAACCTTGAAGCTTGGAGGCATGATTACATTTGAACTGCAAATCAAGTGCTTTGCACACATCTGCCGCGTCCTACAAAGGCTACAACTGCAGCCACACACGTTATGGTTCATAATGATAGAATAGCTCTTCAGATATGCTCAAAGTAATAAAAGATGGAATAAGACATGTGGCATATTCCTATTTAAGTTGCATTATTATGCAGTACAGACATGTAAAGACCGTAATCAAACATTACCATTTTACGACAGGATAACACCCCATTCACACAGGGAATCAGCGTCAACACTTTCCATTTACTTTGAATGGGTGGCGTCAGGCATTGCCAAACTGCATTGTGGAACCGTCAGCACCACTTCAGTGTCGTTGCTCGCTGCAGAAATTTGCAACTTTTCAAGTGTCAGCCAATCAGATCACTTCATGCAAATACCCTAGCTCAGACAGTAGCCGATTACGGACTTATTTCATTGGCTGACGCTGCTATGACAATCACGTCAGCCCCAACTTCAGACACACTCAAGCCCCGTGTGAATGCACGGTAAGCCTTATACTCACAGCTGTTTGACACTATTCTCTGCTTTTTCTGACTTTTTTGCTCTATTTTTCGGATTTTATTCTAGCTGAAATAAAACAAGACTTTCTCCAGAAGATATTTCTTCAAAAATAATATAGGAAATACTATGAAAAAAATCTTGCTCTGTTGAACATCATTTGGAAAAATATTTGAAAAAGAAAAATCACATGAGGGCGAATAATTTTGACTTCAACTGTACATGTGCGAACATTCACTTAGCAATGTTAATGGGATTTGCAAAGACTTTAAGTTTTTAAACAACTAAATATGTGAGGAATAACTGATGACAGACCTTGAGTGTGCCTTATTTTCCAATAATTTAATCAAACAAAGTCAGTTATTCTAATTATACTATAGTTACCACACGTAAAGGCTCTTTTCAGATGTTGTATTTTAATACGTTTGTCAGGTTTTTGTCCTCAAACAGAAACCGTGTGCAATACTGTTTTCTTACACACCTCTTCTAAAGTCTTTTGTTTTGAATTTTGACAGCTTGAAAGCATTTGACTTAATCTCTGTCATCTAAGGGTCTGGGACAACAGAAGTGAGGATCCGCTTGGAGTTATTAAGAACAGTAGTCAGGCAGGCAATGGTCAAACAGGTAGCAAACAAGAACATAAAGGTCATCCAAGATTATTGTCAAAAACAGGCAAAAGGTCAGTAAAGGCAGCAAACAATCAATACAAACAGTAAAACAAGGCAAAGGTCAAAACACAGCAAGACAAGGCAAGGAAAACACTTATGTGATGACCTCCAACAGAAACAAGACTCAGTCCTGTGTGTGGAAATGAGAGGTGTCTTTATAATTCAGGTGATGAGTCAATGATGAGCTTTAGCTGTGTGTCTATGTGTGTGAATGTCATCAGAGAAAACCGGAACAGGTGTGTGTGAGGTACATGACAGGATTTGTAGTCCATTTGGTGGCAGATTTGTAGTTCTCCAGAAATCCGCAGTAGTTAGATCACTGGTAACTATCTAACAATCTCCTTCATGCTCTCTTTCACTGACCCTAGAAGCAGCCTGATGCTAGATGGCGGAGGTCCCATCTTTATTATTGCAACTACTATTATATTACAATTAGCTTCTTCAAAATATATCATGATTCGACTGGCTACTGTTTGCACAGTATTGTCTACTGTGTAGAGCGGCACGGTAGCTCAGTGGTTAGCAAAGTCGCCTCACAGCAAGAATGTCACTGATTTGAGTCCCAACTGGGTCAGTTGGCATTTCTGTGTGGAGTTTATATGTTCTACCTGTGTTCGTGTGGGTTTCTTCCAGGTGCTCCGGTTTCTCCCAGTCACGCGCTGTAGGTGAATTGGATTAACTAAATTGGCCTTATAGTGTATGAGTGTACGTGTGTGAATGTGACAGTGTATGGTGTTTCCCAGTACTGGGAAGTTGCTTGAAGGGCATCCGTTGTGTAAAACATATGCCAGAATAGTTGGCAGTTCATTCCGCTGTGGCAACCCCTGATAAATAAGGGACTGAGCCGAAGGAAAATGTGTACTCAAAAACCTTTGCTTTTACATCCTTTTACATGTTTTGATGTAACATCCAGCCTGCGGACATTTATGTGATAGATCTGCTTTAGAGCTTTAGCTGGACGCGCTCTGACACGCACAAAGGGAAGGGGTTTTCCTGCCTCTTTGTTTCTACAGTGAATGTGATTGACATGTTGTCATTCTCACAGCAGTAAACGCAGGAAGGGTTTCCTCTCTGAATGAGGACATTTATGGAGCAACAGTAGACGGCGCTTGCTCTGACAGTAGGCCAGCGTTTCGGACTCTGCCAGAAAAACAGACACACATCTGGACAACACATTTCATTCTGACACAGACAGACGCGGAGAGAAAGGGGTCAGTCCTCCGCTTCTGAACAAGACGATCAAGCACAGATTTCATTTTTAGAAGCAGCAGTGAGTTCGTGAGAACTGAACTAGTATTAAAAGGTCACTGCTTTGCTTTTAGTTTGAGTGTAGTAATTTATGGATGGAGGTATTTGTGCCATGTTTAAGATTGTAAATAAATTGATAGAAAGATTTGGCGTATATACAATTATGCAGAATTCAGTCTAATTGAGTTTTCCATTTAATGAAGCTAATCCATGCGGTTTCATCCGTAATGCTAGAAATTTCACCCAAAAATGATAATTGTCCTCACTTTCATAGAAAGACATACGCTTGTGATTTTGTCAAGTAGGATGTGATCCTGGATTAACATCTATGTTGATCCTTGAACATCATTCCTGCTTATGAATGTAATCCAAACCTAATCCCTACCCCTAAATCTAACCCTAATGGGAAATTATTCCCAAAATGCAAGTGGTCTAATAGTTGGATAACAACATGTAGTAGCTCATAACCTTAACTGTAAGCCTAAACTTAACATAACATAGTAAACTTGTCCCTAAAATCTGACTGGCTGATTGGAATGTTGTTCCTGGATCGTGGGTGTTTTCTCATTTATTTACTGTGAATATATACTGTACTTATATATATATATATATATATATATATATATATATATATATATATATATATATATATATATATGTATATATATATATATATATGTATGTATGTATGTATATAGATATAGTAGGAAGGAAGGAAGGAAGGTAGATAGATAGATAGATCTGTCTTGGATATGTAAATTACAGCACAGTACACTATTAAAATATAGTAACTGTAATTGCAAGTATTCATTTTATTGAATTTTTGAAATTGCACAGACCCCAAGTTACCGTGCTTAATTTGTAAATGAATAATTTCCGGAACAAAACCAGGAAATAAAAGTTACTGTAAATGATGTATGCCACACATTTCTAAATGTTTTTGTGCAATATTACGTTATGG